TGGCTCTTTGAGGATTGTGCTTGAAAGCTAGATGAGCAAAAGTTGCTTTAACAGGTATTCAAAGGGTGTTTGATAACCAAAAGGAACTTCTTATGGCTAAGCTGGCACAGCAGTGTCTTTCATTCATGAGCACATGGGTAATAAGAAACTTGCTGCTGCATCAGGTGGAGGGAACTGTGGATTCAGGTGAGCGTTTCCTTTCAGGAACTAAGAGCTTAAGTCTCAGTTAGGCAAAAGCTTGGCACAGGTCAAGTGACAGACCTGGTTTGTTCTTTAGAAAGGAGGTTATGTTCACCATAGCTAACTCAGTCATTTAGCACAGAATAATTTAGCATTGGATGCACATTGGTCCACCAACTTTTGACTAGCCCTACTCTCCTACCTTTACTTGCATGCCTGGAAAAGTTACCTGTTTTGATTTTGTGTGTCTGGTTGATGTTAAAGGCACATAAGTAGGAACAAAATCTATGTCATACCTTTTATTGGACTAAGCTTTGGAGCCCAATAGGATTTTTCAGCAGGCTTGATGTTAAGAGATGTTAGAAGACAGAAGGGTACAAAGCCAGTCTCTTAAGCCATGGTGTAAAGATCTGATCTTGGGAGGAAGGCCACTAAAAAAATGGCAGATTTATGTATATTTACTACATTATAGGAACTAGTAAAATGTGGGCATTTAAAGAATAATATCCATTATGATTTGAGGGCAATAAGTTATTACCTGAGCACTGGAAGTCATTATTCTGTATGAAAGAGGCTTGGTGACCCCGCCCCCATTACACTTGTTTTGTGCCATTGTGTTGGGGGACATTGTGACTGAGCAGTCAAGATACATGGGCCTGCTGAGATTGGTGCAGACTTTACCAGTTCCTGCTTGCTCTTGGGGTTGTCTATATTTGGACCTTATGGAAAAATACAAGTAGATTGGAGGTAGAAAGTTTTAGAAAAGAAAGATCACTTTGTGGTCACTTTTCCACAACAAGAATGAATGTGTGGCCTTGATCAGCATAAGGTGGCATATGCTGTTATCAGACTTGTCCTCTCCTCTGTAGCTCAGTGAAGTCATCCAAAGTCTTTGAGACCTTAAAGCCTCCTTTGGGTCCACACGGCTTCATTCCTTCCATGTTCCTGCATGTCCTCGAGTGAGCCTCATAGGCAAACCCAGGGCTCATTTCCTGTCGGAGCTCACAGAAGCAATGCTCCAGCAGTAAGGAGCCCAGGGGGTGGGCATATGCCAAGGCCTGTGACCCCACCCTTGTTTTTCCCAGCCTGCACTTAGGTTTCTTGTCTCTTTTTTTGCCACCCTGCCTGCTCCAGCTGGCTTCTCGCCTTTGTTCCCACTCCGGGCTGCGTGCTGGGTGGTGGTGGGGAACTGCACTCGGGCACACTGGCATCGGCGTGCTGCCTAGCCGGAGCTGCTTCTCCAGGCCATGCGACGAGGCAGCTGAGTTCCTCAGGTGCCCGCCTGGGCCGGCGCCACCAACTGCAGCGGCACGTCACCGCTGCCTCGGCAAGCCACTCTTTGTAAAGCAATGAGGACATGAACTAGTGGACTGTGCTATGCCTGGAGGAGCCCCAGGCTGGGCCAGCTCTGCTCAGCACTCCTGGTACATGCCCCGACAATCCCACCTTCCCTTCCCTCCTCGCTACCCCGCTTCCAGCCCGGCCAGCCTCGCAAAGCCAGAGGTTGCCTCCTGCAACCCGGCACCACCAACCTGGTTCCAGGCGCAAGAGCCGGCCGAGCTCCTGGGCCAGGCAGGGTTTTCCACCCTGGGGGTGCTTCGGGCTGCTCATGCCTTGAAGCGGAGAGGCCACCCGGCACCATGGCCACAGTCTCCGTGGGACAATCCCCGTTCTGCTGACTGGCAGTTCCCACGCCAGTGGCCCTCTTGAAGGACCCGGGACAGATTTGCTGCCCAAATTTCCTTTCCCACAAGGGCCGGTTTCTCTTCCGTCTTTGCGCTGGGGGCTCTTTTCAAGGGGGCTCGTCCTCCCCGCCACCGTGCCATGTCACAAGAAGCTCCTGCCCATCCGCCCTCCACTGGGGAGCATTCTTCAGCTACACCCAGAAAGTCCAGTCCTTGTGCTAAATCAGAAAAAAGGGGGAGGGGGGGTGTTCAGTCCCAGTGAAATCCACCAAGCAGGAGACGAAGAAGAACAGATTGGATTTATACCCCGCCCTTCACTACCTAAAGGAATCTCAGAGCAGCTTACAAACTCCTTTCCCTTCCCCTCCCCACAACAGGCACCCTGTGAGGTAGGCGGGGCTGAGAGAGCTC